CGACGCAGCGTACGAGGTGCCGGTATCGCACCAGGAGCCAAAGCTGCATGAAGCGTAAGTCCTCCCCTTCTTTGTAGACTGCAGAGAAACAATCCGGACCACCCGGTCTCAGAGAACACGACATGGGTGGGTCGGCGTGCAGGGGAGGTTGTGATGTTGTATCATCTCTCGCGTGGCTGCGCTAACCAACAGATATCCTCCCCAGGACCCGGTGCAGTGTCGCCGCATTAGGGTCTGTCTTTGCTCGAGTTCGTTCACGGTAGTGCTAACATCGACAGGTATTTTACGCCCAGCTGCCTCCCCGGGATCGGGACGTTGCAGGATGGCGGGGTCGCAGCCAACTGTCCATTGCGGGCCGCCCTGCGGGAGAGCCAGATTATCTGGCCGACCCGCACGCAGCCGGACCTGGTGGTCAGCATCGGCACGGGTTACAGCACCGAGGAGCCGGCGTCTGATGCAACAGAGGACGATGGGCCGCTTCGCGGCGGGTTCATCGCTAGGGCTATTCGCACCTTCCTGTCTTCGCCAGCGGTCGACGGGCGGCGCGGCTGGCTCGACGCCTGGGACAGTGTCCCGGAGACGCTCCGCGCCGATGTCTTCCGGCTTGACCGAGCCATCGCTGGCCCCCTGCCCGAGCTGGATGACGCCGAGGCGATGGAGGGTCTCGGTACGTACCCTTACCGCGTGCCGGACGGGCTGATGAGAGCGTGGCTGGCCAAGTCTTTCTTCCTCGAACTGGACGAGACTCCCACCGTGACCGCCCAGGGCCTTGTGTGCCGGGGTTCCGTCCTGTGCTGTCGTTCGGACACTGCCACTTTGATCCGTCAAACCCAGTGCCACTTCCCTGGCGCTCGGTTCATGTACGGGAACCGTGACCTGGGTGCGGTCAGCAACACTGATGGATGCTCCGCCTGTGGCTACTATCGTAAGCGTGTCATCCTGCAGGTTACGAGCTTGAGCGAAGACCTGCAGCTTGGCATCTCCAGCTCGACAGCGTTCCGTGCCTTGGGCGGTTTCCCCACGTCTGTGCAGGCGCTGCTGGACGCTCAACAAGCCGACGCGCCGTTTGGGCGGGCCGATCATGGTCGGGACCGATGGCCGCCGCCCCGGCGTTGCTACTGTAGAAACCTCAAACGGACGGGCACGGAGGGGATGGAAAGCAAATCGACCACCAAGCGTCGAAGGCTATAGTGGTGCTAGGTAGGTAACCCCGCACCGTAGAGAAGCAATCCCTTCGTCATCGGTGGTATCGGACAGGCATGGTGGGTGAAGAGAACGGAGAATGGAGCCAACCACGGGAGGAACGGTACGTGTGTGCCTGGCGGGGGGTGTTTAATCACCTGATGGTCGGTCCCACCTACCGCCCATATCAAAACACCGACTCCCATCTCCATTCAATCGTAAAACGTCTGGGGGCATGCATCACGATCGATGCAGCTCTGATT